TTTCTCTTACTCCGGAGTAACCACTTAAACCAGTAAACTCTGCAGAGCAGTAGCGGAGATGGGGCTGGAAAAGAATATTGCATACACACCATACACAGCCAGCCTCTGATACCCTGCAAAAGAATTTGAACTTTATTCCGTATATTGTTGGAAACAACAAATGGCTTTTGAGTCCAAGAGTGATGCAATCATAGTGACACATTAGGAAGGGTATTCAGGAGGCACCAAGCAGAGCGCTGTGGCTGGAGGCTGGGAGCCTGGCCAGGAGGCTGTTGCAACTATCCAGGTGAAAGGTGCCAAGGACCTACTTGGAGGCAGTTGACTCAGAGAGAAGAGACCAGATGGGGAGACATTTCAGAAGTGGAGCTGACAGCATGAGGGGCCCGAGTGGCTATGGACAGTGTCTGAAGATGCCATTGACAGCCAGGAATAGGGTGAAGGTGCCCAATAAGCACTTGGAGTCAGGGGACCAAGACTGTCGGGTTGGTGAGGAAGTGAAGGAGTTGTCCACATAGAATTGATAATGGAATGAGTATGTATAGATGAGGTCAAGGTCACAATGCAGAGATGAAGGCCCAAGGTATATTACATCTTCCCTGACTCCATTCACGTGGATCTTCCCACTCTTGTTCTCAGTCCAGAATTCTTGGCAGCCTGAGGTGGTATCCCCTAGAGAACAAAGTGCCCCATTATCAGGCAGATGCATCTTTCTTTTTCTTCCTTCCCCTCTTTTTCTTTCTTTTTCTTTCTTTCTTTCTTTCAGGTTTTATTTATTGACTTTTAGAGAGAGGGGAAGGGGGGAGAAAGAAAGGGAGAGAAACATCGTTGACTCTCACACGCCCCTAACCAGGGACCTGTCCCACAACCCAGGCGTGTGCCCTGGGTATTGAACCGATGACCTTTTGGTTTTCAGTATGATGGCCAACCCACTGAGCTACACCAGTCAGGGCATGCAGATGCAACTTCCATCCCTGCCCCCTTTGCCCTTCATCCCACAGCATTGACACTCATCTTCCCCATCTCTAATCTCCCAGGGACATACTCAGGACACCAACACCTACTTCCTGTGCCGAACTCTGCGCTCCCTTGGGGTCCAGGTGTGCCGGGTCTCTGTTGTACCTGATGAAGTAGCCACCATTGCTGCTGAGGTCACCTCTTTTTCCAGCCGCTTCACCCATGTCCTCACGGCAGGGGGCATTGGTCCCACTCACGATGATGTGACCTTTGAGGCGGTAGCACAGGCCTTTGGAGATGAGCTCAAGCCACACCCTGAGCTGGAAGCAGCCATCAAAGCCCTGGGAAGGGAGGGCTCGGAGAAGCTGTCACTGGTGCCCTCCTCTGCCCGCCTGCATTATGGCACAGATCCTCACACTGGCCGCCCCTTCAGATTCCCACTGGTCTCGGTCCGCAATGTCTACCTCTTCCCAGGCATTCCAGAGCTGCTGCGGCGGGTGCTAGAGGGGCTGAAGGGACTGTTTCAAAACACAGCTGTTCAGTTCCACTTGCGGGAGCTGTATGTAGCAGCTGACGAGGCCTCTATTGCCCCCATCCTGGCTGAGACCCAGGCCCACTTTGGACACAGGCTTGGCCTGGGTTCCTACCCTGACTGGGGCAGCAACTACTATCAGGTGAAGCTGATGCTGGACTCAGAGGAAGAAGGGCCCCTGGAGGAATGCGTGGCCTACCTGACTGCTCATCTGCCTCAGGGATCACTGGTTCCCTACATACCCAATGCCATGGAGCAGGCCAGTGAGGCTGTATACAAACTGGCCAAGTCAGGTAGGGGCCTCCTGGGAGAGGGGGCAGGTGCACCAAACCACAGGTTTCAGGAATGCAGAGCTGTTGGGAGGCTTCCCAAAAATCCAGGAGAAGGTAAAGGATAGCTACAGTCGATTCATTCATTCTTCCAATAAATGTTAATTGAGTACCCACTTCACCAGTACTATGCTGGGAGTTGGGGAGATAGCACAACAGAGCAGATGTATGCCCTACTCTATGGACCAGTAGTTTAACAGGAAAGGTAGGTGTTGAACAGGTAATCATGCATGAGATGTCAGCAAGAGATCAGCCTTCATCTGGGAGCCTTCATAAGGCTCCTCTGGGCAAGTGACATACAAGCTTTGTGATAAGGAAGATTTGGCCACATCAGGAGTAGGGCCACAGTATGAGAGAGGACAGAGAAGGAATTAGCAGGAGGTTTAAGGGAATGGAAAGAAACCAGGAACCCGGAGGGGAGACACTGAGATGAGGTGTGGCTGACTGGCAGGCAGGGAGCAGACTGCAGGCCTAGTAGGCAACATGAAGGAATCTGAACTTTATCCTAGGAACACTGGGAAGATATTGAAGGGTTTTAAACAAGTGTATCATGGCCCTACTACCACTATCTGATGGTCTCTTCCCTACCTGTCTGGCAGGGTCTTCCCTGGGGAAAAAGGTAGCAGGTGCCCTGCAGACCATTGAAACTGCCCTGGCTCGGTACAGCCTCACCCAGCTCTGTGTGGGCTTCAATGGCGGCAAGGACTGCACTGCCCTCCTGCACCTCTTCCACGCAGCTGTGCAGAGGTGAGCCTGTCCCCTGAAAGTAGGACCCCAGAGATACAAAGATACCTGATCTTCACCATTCTGTGGTTCCTCATCTTAAGAAGCAGATGGGGAAAGGGGTATCTGGGTAGGATTTGGGAGGGAGGTAGCCATAGTGACCTCTTAGTTCCATTCCTCCACCATATTTATTGAGCATCTGACACATGCTTGGCCCTGGGTGTGGATGTGCAAGTCACCATTCCTGACCACAGGGACGTCCTGGTCCTTTTGAAGAGGTGATACTTACCTACCTGAAATGAACGTGTGCTCTAGATTTGTTAGGTGAGAGATCAGAGCAGCCTTCCTAGAGGAAGTAGGTTCTGATGGATGGGAAAAACAGGGAAAGGGGAGGAAGGGAGCATGTGCATCCCAGCGGCCAAGGAGAACAGTGCAAGCTCTCTGGAGAGCGTTTCCCTGTCCATGCTGGCAAGCCTGTGGTTTCTCCCCCTTCCCAGGAAACATCCTGGTACTCAAGAACCTCTCCAGATCCTGTATATCCGCAGCATCTCCCCTTTCCCTGAGCTGGAGCAGTTTCTACAGGACACTATCAAAAGGTACTGGGGGCCTGTTGGTCTGGGCTCCAAGATGGACTTGGAAGATCCCATTTGTTACCCTCAGCCCCCTTCCTTCCTCAGGTACAATCTGCGGGTGCTGGAGGCCGAGGGCGACATGAAGCAGGCTCTGCGCCAAGTGCAGGCACAGCACCCCCAGCTGGAGGCCGCCCTGATGGGCACCCGCCGCACTGACCCCTACTCCTGCAGCCTCTGCCCCTTCAGCCCCACAGACCCAGGCTGGCCGTCATTCATGCGCATCAACCCCCTGCTGGTAATGCAGAATAGGACTTACTGCCTTCAGTCTCTTGTCCCCTATCAGTCATTGCACCCTGGCTTTCTGTGGTGAGGACACTGGAGTCTGAGGCTTGGATGAAGGGGCCCCATCATCTAAGGAAGGCTGTGCTATTTGTTCATTCAGCCTTTTGACCAATATTTATTGAGCAGTGATTCAGTGGCAGGCATTGTGCTTTTTATTATGGACCTCTGTTATCGAGTATGGTAGCCATTAGCCATTTACTTACACTCAAATGATAATTAAAATGAAATACAAATGACTAAAAAAAACCCAACAACTGAATTGTATATCTTAAAAGGGTGAATTTTAATGGCATGTGAGTTATATTCAGTATCTCAATTTTAAAAATTAAACAATTCAAAATTAGGTCTTCAGTTGCACCAGCCACATTTCAAGTGCCTGCCATATTAGCACAGAAGGAGAACATTTTCATCATCGCAGAAAAGTCTACTGGACAGCTCTGGCTTACACACACAGCCCCTCCCTGTCCTCCAGGAGCTGACATGCCAGTGGCGGGCGGATTGGGAGTGCAGAGGGTACAGGATGAAGGTTTCTCTTTCTTGGTGCTTGGCCTGCACAGAGCAAGGTGTGCCAGTGAGTCAGGTAGCAGGCCCTCAGAGCAGAAGAGCCCTGAATGGGCCCCTTCCCAGGCAGCCCGGGTAGAGTGGGAGAGGGCAGTGTTTGTGACTCTTCTCTGACTCTGACCTCCCAGGACTGGACCTATAGAGACATCTGGGACTTTCTGCGTCAGCTGTTTGTCCCATACTGTATCCTGTATGACCAAGGGTAAGGGTGTTGGAAGAGAATGGGTGTGGGGAAACGTGGGTGTTGAGATAGGGAGAGCTACCCCACCACACACTCACCCTCTCTTCTCCTGGCTCCAGCTACACATCACTGGGGAGCCGGGAGAACACAGTGCGGAACCCGGCCCTGAAGTACCTGGGCCCAGGAGGACAGGCCTGCTACCGTCCAGCCTACTTACTTGAGAATGAAGACGAAGAGCGGAACTCCCGCATGGGATCTCACGCTCCTGCCCACTCCAGGAGGGAGTGAAGAAGGCTGTCCTGGGGTGTAACCACTCAATAAACTGTGCCTCTCCTTTCACCTGCCTGTTGCTCTGGCTGTGTCTTCCTGCTCACAGAGGGGTGGGAGAAGTGCAGTGGGCCAGGCCTTGCTGGCTCTGAGCTGGCAGTAGTCACTCTGGGGCTGGAAGGGAGTTCTCATTGGTGATTCTGACTGAATGCCAATCTCGGCAGGAGCCCACCAGAGGGTAGAAGCAGGGAGTTGTGCCAACCACTGAGGTTACCCACGGTTTCTGGGCTCGGGCTGGAGGAAGGTAGCTGAGCTGCCCTGGCTGTGGAGGGTGAAAGATGGAGTGGCCGGCCACGTCCTCCTCCTCCTAAATCCACCCCTCCTCCAACTGTGCATAGGGGCTGACTCAGCCCACTCTCCTGCCTAGAACCTTCCCTGTGTTAGACCCTAAGGCCTTTGTCCCTGTAGTCACGAGGTCTGTAGGGGTGGGAACGCTGTTGATAAAAGATATAGAGGGAGCTCCCACACCCTTCCTCAGAGCTGCTGCCCACATGCAGGCCTGGACGCAGCCCCTAACCCAGGCCCTACCCTTCTCCCTTGGCGGGGCCCTGCGAGACGCTGGGCTCCGAGTGCCCACTGTAAAGATGGGCACCAGGTGGGAGGGCCTGCAGCGCACCCTGAAGGAAGTGGCCTACATCCTCCTCTGCTGCTGGTGTATCAGGGAGCTGCTGGATTAATGGCAGCAGAGAACGGCCTCCCCACCGGCACCGCAGCCGGCATCACCCAGCTGAGCAGGGTAGAGCAAACAGACAGGAGGCATGGCTGCAGCTTCTGTGGAAGAGCCTATCCCTCAGCTTTCTGTTCTCTTTTTTAGTTCCCAGCCCAAACCCCATCAAGACTCCTGGGGTCAGCTGCAAAGAATGGGCCACAAACAAGTGAAGTTTGGATCCTGCTTTGCATTGGTGTCGTCTGTCAGACCTGCCTCATCACTGAGCCTCTGTCCCCAGCCCCCACCTCTGGTGGGCCTCTGGTGTGCAGGACCTTGGCCTCTATAGTCCCAATAAGACTGCAATAGGACCTGGCATTCCTCCAAGCCTGGCACAGTGACCCCACCAGCCCAGATGGTTGATCTTATCATACCCTCTTTGTGCCAGGAATGGGCTGCCCCCTAATATCTCTGAGAATCCCTGAACTATATATATAATAAATAGGACTTGAGGCCAAAAATTCTCTGTGTCTATAGGGCAATCAGAAAAAGTCGGCACTGGAAGGGTATTGAAGCCAGTGTGCTGACCAGGGAGGGAAGGAAGTTGTCCTAGATGGAACCGAGACTGAAAGTCAGGTTTCCTGACTCACTGGTGCCTGAGTAGGGAGGGTGGAAAGGCCAGGTTCCTCCCAACTTGTGGGTAGGGAGAGGCCCAGCTTAGGTGGGGTCTTTTGTGAGTCCCTGTGCATTAGGATGGGAACACAAATAGGAGACCTAGTCTAGCCAGCTCCTGCCCCTGAGGATCTTGGGGGAAAGCCCTGGGCTGATGCTAGTCTCCAGTTCATGGAGGAGGTGAGGGCCCTCCTCCTCCAGCTCACAAAGCTGCAAGAAAAAGGCACCTATGTGGCCACACAGGTCCCTCAGGCTTATCACAGGAGACAAACAGCCAGGAGGAGCAGAATCAACTCTTTACTTCCCCCTGGCAGCCACCAACAATTGTTTTCCCTGAATTACTCCCGATGGTAGGTACACATGAGCCATTTACACTGTCTTGCTCATGCTTACTCATGCTTGCTGACATTGGCCCCCTACAACCTCAGAGCCAGCCATAGGGCCTGTTCACAGTGTCCCTGGGATATCTAGTCATCGTTCCCTGGCCCCTGCTTGGGGCTGTTATTGTCCCTATCTCGCTCCTGAAGAACGGGCCTGAAGATGGTATATGCGGCCTTCCCCTCACTCCCAGGGGCCAGCTATTCCTCAGCCTTCTTAGTTAACTCTTTTTCTCTGGGCTTACTTTATTTTTCTTTTTGTGAAGGTAATATATGCCTAGGATAAAGGATTCTTTTTTTTTTAAGATTTTATTTATTTATTTTTAGAGAGGGAAGGGAAGTAGAGAGAGAGAGAGAAACGTCAATGTGTGGTTGCCTCTTATGCGCCTCCCCCCCCCCACCACCACTGGGGACCTGGCCTGCAAACCCAGGCATGTGCCCTAGACTGGGCATCGAACCAGCGATCCTTTGGTTCACAGGCCAGCACTCAATCCACTGAGCCACATCAGCCAGGGATAGAGTAGTAAAGGATTCTGATAATAAAAAGTAAAGCTCCCTCCTACACCTATCCTCCAGCCCCCAGCTCGCCTCCCTGGAGGTAACCATGGTTACTAGTTTCTTGGAGAAATAGTCTATGCATATACTGCATATTCATTCACTTAACAAATATTAAGCATCTACTTTTTACCAGTGGGGTGCTTTGAATACAGCAATGAACAAAAGAGATCCCTGTGAGCTTACTTTCTGGTGGGTGGGTACAGAAAATAGAATATTTTAAAAATTAGAGATGTTATTAGATGATAGCTACTATGGGAAAAGGAAAAAGTTGAACTGGGCATGTGAATAGAGGCAGGTCACAGAGGGCCTAGTAAACTGTGGTAAGAACTTGAGATTTTTATGAGGAGTTATTGCAGGGTATTGAGCGTGAACTGATTTTTTTATTTAAAAGGCTCACACTGGCTGCTGTGTTGAAAACAGACAGAGGAGCAAGGAGAGCACAGGAGAGACCTATTAAGAGGTAATGGGCACAGTCCAGGCCAGAGATGCTGGTGCCTCAGAGCAGACTTACAGTAATAGCAGTGGTGAGAAGGGGCTGGATCCTGCATACACTTATCCTTTTAGTTGATAATATACTCTACACATGGTTCTGCACCTTGCTTTTTCCCCTTAATGTACCTTATACAGGATTTCACATCAGTACATTTAGAGCCTGCCCACTCTTTTTTGTGGCAGCATAGTACGCCAACTGAAGATTACTTCTTATCCCTGGCAGCTCAGCACCCTCGCTAGGCATTCACAAAATGCAGGTCATTGTTCTTGCCTGGTCCCTTCAGAGCCCCACCCTCATCCCAGGGCACATCAGTGAAAAGGGGTAAGGTCCTGAATCAACCAGAGAGAGGCGAGTGTGGAGGTGGACACATAATTTATCTTCCCACCTGAATCTGGGGCTCATAACCTGTTCCCTTCTTGGACAGCTCCAGGCCTTCCCTGGCCTTCTGCCTCCTTTTCCTTTCTTAGGCCCCACTCCCACCACGCTGAGTAGTGCCTGGAGGTGGATCCTGGAGTCTGAGAGTTATGAGCACAAGGGCCTTGGCCAAGGGAGGGGATGTCTGCCAACACCACTGGAGGAGTGATAAGTGGAAGAAGTCAGGGCCCAGGGTTATGGCCTGTGGTGAGAAGCTGAAGGAGAAGAGTAGAGACTTCCAGTGGCCCAAGTGGAGTGGCAAAGCTGAAAAGAGAGCCCTGAATGTGGAAAGACTGAGAGGTATGGGGAGAATAACAAAAACCTCACAAACCATTCTGAGAGCGCTTTTCACACTACAAAGTGCTTTGAGCTTCACAAAAGTCCACTTCAAAAGTAGACAGAACAAAGATAATTATCCCATTTTAATGTGAAGGAAACAGGCCCAGAAAGTTAAAGTGACCCATCCAAAGTCTTACCCACAGCACACTCTGGTAGGGTAGTCATTTAGTAAATCCAGATTTTCTCATCTCAAATTCAGGGCTTCTTTCAATTAGCCTGCCTTCTTTGGAACTGGTGCTGGGATGGTAGCTTAGGTGGCCTGGGAGGCAGGACCAGGTAAGCAAAAGTATGGAAAGGACTGTCACCTCCATTCTGCACCCACTCCATGCTCTCCCACTGCCACCTGAACCCTAAGCTCTCCTTGTTCTTGGTTTCCCAAGCACATTTGGGGGCCCCAGCTTCCCCCATTTTTACCCAATCCACACAGGCCAGTAGATGGTAGCCTCCTCACTCCTGTAAAAGGGAAAAAAGATGCAGCAGCTTCCCTCCCTGCAATTTTCTCTTTCCAATTAAAGTAAACCCAGGTTTTGAGTGCCCAAACTACTCTCTCAGGAACTCGCTAGAGAGCTGTCAGGAGAGGGTAGGGGGTGCTGTAGAGAGGCAAGGGTAAAGGGAAGCAGAGAGCCAAAATAAAGGGATGGGTAAGATGTCACCTACCCCTCTGCTCCCTGAGGCCCTCTAGTGGCCACAAGGGGTAGGGGAATGGTTGGGATCAAATAGGGAATGAAATATGGCAGAGCTGGAAGTGACTCCCAAGGACAATGGCCTTAAGGAGGAGCGGCCAGGCTGATTTCTTAGGATATAAGACCCTCAATGGTCTACAAAAAGCACGTGGAGGAGAGGGGTCATAGCGAGGTGGTCTGAGGAGTCATGTGCAGTAAATTGGACATTATAGTAATGATTTTGGGAAGATTCCATGATTTCTCAGCAAGGCGGTTGTAAAGGGGATTGTGGCTCTCGTTTCACTAGCACCAGCATACAGACCCCCAAAGGCATAGGCTCTTACTTCCGTCCCTATTTGCATCTCGTTTTCTTGAGTTATTTCCTCTTCAAAAGGCATTAGTCGCCAGCCCCTTTCTCAATTACTCCCAACTGAGGCTTTGTGCTCCAGAGTGTTAGAAGTATGCCCATTCTTCAGGTCATTCTGTGGATACTCTGACCTCCAGCCCTCAGTACCCTTCCATATTTTGCCTTCAACTCTTTACTTAAACCAGCTACAAAGCTGTGCCCCAAACTCTCAGCTCTGTTCCAGGAACCTGGGGACCTGCGCCGCCTGGTGGTTGGCCAGAGGGAAACTGAGAGCAGAGGGGTTCTGATTAGCTGTCTCTGGGACGTGGAGTTTTGGAAAATGTTCCCCCGAGCTTCCTGAAGCTAAATTTATCTCCCCTGGCCCTGGGGGGCGCAGAGATCCCAGCGACGATTAGCGCTGCGCGGCAGCCCGCTCCCGCCAAGAGAGGCCCGGAATAGGCGCCGAGTTATAAATAGTGCCGCCCGCAGGTGTGGGGGGAGTCGGCGGGAGGTGGGCAACCCTTGCAGCCACGGCCCCTTCAGGTGGGTTGGGCGGTCGCGGTGGGGGCACCGGAGGGCGGCGGGCGGGGGGTGGGGTGGGGCTGCGGTCTGAGCGCCCCCAGCGGTTTCCTGGGCGGCGGGTTTTTCGAGGGAAGCGGAGGCAGTAGGGGGAAGGGGGGGTAGCAGGGAAGAGGTGGGCACCTAGCGCAGGCTGACACTCCACTTCCAGCTCGCCCCCCGCCCCTATTCCAGAACAGGCCCCCAGACCCACTCACTCAGGACCCCGCCCAGGCAGAACCTTGCCTTTTCTCCCGCCCGAAGCCCTCTCTCCTCTAGTCTTTGCAAGCATCTAATTCCTCTGCGGATGCCCTTTGGAGCACGTGGCCCAGCCAGCCGTCACTCAGATTCGCTGTCCCCAGCCAGCCCCAGGTATCGGACCTCCCTAGGAGGGTTAGCTTCCAGCCGGCCTTTCATCCTTCTCTTTGATCAAACACTGCATTCTCCGGGTATTTACTCACCCTGCTACTTTCCCCCCAAAATTAAGGTCTAGTTGGTCGCCTGAAGATATGTTAGAACGTATGAAACTGGGACGCTCCCCTATCCCCAGGAGACCCCTGAAGGCACAACACCTGCCCTCCAGTTCCCAGTTCCAGCCTGGGCCTGGGGGCAGAGTGGGGGTGGCGGCAGGCCCCTGGGGCCCAGCCCGGGTGTCGTGGGAGGGGGCGGGGGCCCCCAGTCAGCGTTTCTCGGCCGCAGCTGTCTCGGTGGTTTGGCGCGGCGAGGGCCCGGAGTTGGGGGGTGGGTAGACGGGAATTTCAAGTCGGGGTTCCCCCCTTCGACTTCTGAGCAAGGAAGGGAGATGTGTGGACTAGCTTAAGAGAAACGTAGGAGAGGGTCACAGAGGAACTATCAGGAGGTTCTAGGTCTGTCGAGAATCAAGTAAGGAATGACATCTCAGCTGCTGAAAGATCCAAGTTGGGTCCAGCAAGACCTCGGACGCTATCCCCAAAGATGACAGGGTGAGCCCTAGGCATTGGGCACCGTTTGCTTATCTGTACCTAAAGTCTAGTGCCAAGAAAGGCACCCGCCCTTCTATTGCCTCTGGAGGCCCTAGCTCTGCCCTCCCGGGGCACTCTCCCGCCCTCCTTTCCCTTGACCATGCCCCCGCCCTCCCCGAAGCAGACCCTTCTCCATTCCACTGGTGTATCTGGCACCGCTGTCTCGCCCCTGGCACTGCCGTTCTCCAGGCTAGCGCGACCCCAACGTCTGGAAAAGGGAGGGGAAAACCCTGGCCTGGACCCCACTGACTCCGGGCCCTCACCAACCGGGATGTGACCGGCGGGGCCAAGAAGAAAACCCGGAGTAGTGACCAACCTTGGGACCCAAGGGGGGCAGGGACGACAGGAAAACCCGGAGCGGATTACCCTAGCGGGAGCACCCCATGCCTGCTGCTACCCCTCCTTCCTATAGCCCCCCCCCCAATTCTCCAGTGAGATAATGTCTGGGGTGGGGGGCTGTTTAGTTTGGCCTGGGCCCTCAGGGGCGCCTCACACTTTCCGCCTCTGGCTAGAACGCAGGGCAGCGGCCCCGAGGCTGAGTCACGGCCCGAGACGGGAGGGAGGGACAGAGTCCCGGTCCCTCCCCCTGCGCGGGGATCCCGGGTCAGCCCGGGTGAGGGCCAGGGCCACCCTGGCACCGCCCATTGTGGTCCAACAGGTTGAGCTGGTGTCCCGCGGAGCCACCTGCTGGAAAGGGAGGGAGCCCCCCTGCGGAGGGGGTTGGGGGAAGAGAAAGCGAGTCCCACCCAGTTCGGCCAGTCGGTAGCAGAACCCGGCCGCGGTATCAGAACCCGGCCCGAGGTGTCCACATTTGATTGTTTTACACTAATGGGAGGGGCTCTTTGGGGTACGTAGCACTGCAGGCCCAGCTGGAAGCGTCCCACACAGAATACCTTCCTCAGTTGGAGGGCACTGAAATTCGTATCCTAGTCCCCTCCAAACCCACCTAAAACACCCAGGGCCCCCCTCCCCATCTGGGTCTCAGCGAATCCCAATCAAGAGGTCCTTCCTCCTCGGAGACTCAGTTTCTCCACTTCGGGAACTGGTGAGGTGGAGGCGCGGAGCGGGAGCGAGCGCGCCTCCCCCTCCCCCTTCGCGATACCGGCCCCTCCCCTCTGACAACGCCAAGGCCGCAGCGGCAAAGGCTGGAGCGTAGAGGCTGCTTGCCCAGGGCGCGGATCCCTCCCCGCGGGGCGCCGTCACGCGTGGGGAGGGACGCAGGGTGCCCGCAGCACAACTCCCCCGCTCCCTTTGAAGGGAATGGGTGGGATGGGGCGAAGGAGCTGGAGCCGAGGTCCTGGTAGCTCCCCTCCCCCTATCTCCCGGGGCCCTGACCTGATTATAGCCCCTCACGGGACCCCCCCCACCTCAGTCCCCTAAGTCCCCGCCTCACCCCCACCTAGCCTATCTTTCACCTCTCATACCCTTCCCTTCTGAAGTGTTGACCCTATAGAAGCCCCTCTTGGAGGATTGGGAGCCTTTGATGGGGGTGCTCGGTTGTCCGGCGGCTGCGGACACTCCCCCCTCCCCCTTCCCCTCCTCCAGCTTTCAGGCCTGCCCCTCGGCTCCGTCCCCTCCCTAGCCGAACGCCAGGCGGGACCCAGTTGAGATGGGCGGGTGTTAAGGCCAATGGACAGACGGGGCGGAGGAGTGCCCGGGGCGGGGAGGAGCCGCAGCGGAGGGCTGGATCGGGGTCCGGGGCGGAGCTCGAGTTAAGGTGGACCGCGAGAGATGGGGGCTAGAAGAGAGACATAGGGGCTAGAGAAGAGAGAGGGAGAGAGACAGACAGACAGACACGGGGCGAAGGGACTCCCGCGGCAGGTGAAGGGAGAAAGAGACAGAAGAAAAGAGGGTGGGGAAAGAGGAGGGTAGGAAAGCCTCGGAGAGCAAAGTAAGAGCTTGGACGAAGGGAGCGAAAAAGGAGGGAGGGACCCATCTGCGCCCTGCTGGGACTGGCTGGACCAAGGGGTTGAAGTTTATGTCCTTATTGGGTGGAGGGAGGGGGGCCTGGGGGGGCGGGTGAAAAACCAGGAAGTGACAGAGGGTGTTGCTAAGGGTTGAGGGGGGAGTTTAGGGGGTGGCAGGGGGCGGGGGGAGGGAGGGGAGGGATGGGGGGAAAGCAAGCAGGAGGACAGGTGAGACAGCAGGACAGGTGAGGCGGGCCCTGAGGGGGGGCGGGTGGGAGCCAGGTGAATGTACGGTTCTCGCGGCCGAGGGGGGGGGCGGGCGGCAGGAGGAGGCAGAGGGCTGCGGAGGAGGAGCCCCCCAGCAGAGAGCGGCGAGCGACTGACCGCGGCCTTCTGACCAGGACCGGAGCAGGGCCCCAAGCCCCCGGGCCTGGCGGGGGACACGCTTCTCCCTACACTCTGTGCCTCAGCAGCTCCAGACAGCGGACCCCACGGCGGAGAGGTAAGTGTACCCCACTTTTGTCTCCTGCCTCGGGGTCCCCCAGACTCCAGAGTACTGCAGTGTCCTTCGTCCGTCCTGTACGTGGGACCCCCCCCACACACATGCATGCAGACTAGATTCCCACCACTCCCCTTCCCAGTGCCTTTCCAATATCCCGGCTCTTTGGAATTGATTTTAACTGGGAAGAAAGGTAGAGAAGGAACTGCGGCCGCTCCCAACTCGGGGCGGAGGGTCCCCAGAAACTTTCTCTGCACTTCAGGGCTCAGACAGACTGGCGGCTCCGGGATGCCTAGAGGGCCAGGCGGCGCTGAGCGCTCCCTCAGTCTCCTGCGTGACTTTAGGGGTAGACCCCCGGCCCGACTGAGTTGAGGAAATGGAAACGCTGTCGGACTCTAACTAGGACAACGCGCTCCCCCCGCCCCGCGCCCCCTGGCGCTGTGGGTTGGACCCAAGCCAGTTTCAAGGGGGGTGGGGGGAGCGCAGGAGGAGCCGCGGCCGGGGGGAAAGTTACCAGCTAGACTATTCGGTTTCTTGCGCTTCCAGAGCCGCGCTCTCTCCGGTAGTGGGGCTCAGCGACAGCCTCCGAGCGACATAGAACAACCTCTCTCTCCGCCGTCCCTCAATTCCACTCCCTTCCTCGGGCTTAAGTCCCGCCGCCACCTTTTCAAAGCCAACTCATGCCCTAGAACCCAAGGGTGAGGGTGGGTTACTGGGACGGATTCTGCCTACTACTCGCACCCCTACTGGCTCCGGCGCACCTGCCCCTACCCAGAACGGGGGTCGCTACTGTGTTGTAGAGCCTCCAGTAAGCGCTGCTGGGAGAGGGCTGCCATTCAACGGGGTCGAGGGCGCTGCCTTCCAATTCCAGCTTTCTTTCCTCCCACCCCACCCCAAGTCGGCAAGCGACGTGTCCCGGCCAGCGGTGGGGGGGCGGTGGCGGGAGTTGGGGGGGCGGCGTGGGCAGCGGGTTGTGCCCGGACACGTGCCTGCCCAGGCGCCCCGGCCCTGCTGGTGTTTGGAGAGAGGGCGGGTCCCCTGCCCCCCGTCCGCACAACCCCCACGTATCAAAGGGCGGCTGAGACGTGGTGAGACCTCGGGGCGCCCGGGGGGGGGGGGCGGGGAGCCTGGGTCCGGAGCAGGGGAGGGGCAGAGGCGCTGGTGCTAGCTGACCCACAGGAAACGAGCACTGCTGACCTAGTTTGGGACACCGGAAGTGGGTGCTGGAGAGAGGGGGAGACCAGCAGGCTGTCCTGGCTTCCGGGCCAGGTGGAGGGCGTTCTTGAATTGACCCCCACCCTAATGCCTTAGAGACCCTTAGCTGCAGCTGAGAATGGGAATGAGTCAGCGCAGCTATTTCCCCTTCCCCCAACTTATTCCTGGAGGAGGGAGACAGTTTATCAGGGGCTGGGGTAGCCAGATTGGGCAGTGATGGGTTAAACCAAGATGGGAACTCTCTGTTCCCTAAGGATGTATGTGTGTGAGGGTGAGGCCTGGAGGATTATGGGGTTGCCTCGTGCTCCCCCACACTCACCAACTGGTTTGGTCACCCCTGTACCTGCCTGGCACTGCTGGGAAAGCTGGCATGGAGTGGGCATCAGGTTGGGAGGGGAGAGTGGGCATAAGGAGTGTTGTGCTGGTCTGGAGAGGGACATACTTGTAACTAAGTTTGGGTGTAGTTAGTTTTCCTCCTCAGAGGTGACTGAGAAGAAGGGCAGGGGGCTCCCTCTGGAGCAGCTGATGAAACAAGAAGAAATCTCTGTCACTGCCTCCTGTCCCTGGCCCCCGGGACCCCAGCTTCCCCAGCGTGCCTCTGTTACATGGTTGCTGTGGGCACGATGCAGCCTGCTGGCACCCCCAGACACTGTCCCTTCCCTTGGGTACCACACCCCCAGCCTTAATGCAAGGGTCAGGAGAGGGTTAATGCCAACAGAGAGGGGCTCTGGGGAAGAAAGAAGGCATTGCCCACTATGCTCAGGTGTCAAGGAGAGAGGCCTGCTCTGGTGGGGCACTCTCATCGCTACTCAGCCCTGGCTGATGTGCACCCCGGCGTCTGGAACAGGTGCTGACCTCTTCTCCCTTCCCTGTAGTGCCCCCTGGCACCCAGGGCCCCCAGCTCCTCCTTGGCCTAGTGCCCGCCCCAGGAGGGCGCGGCGGGCAGCGGGGGCTGGGCTAACAATGCACCATCGGGCCCTTTGTGTGCTTGCACTTGGCACCCTGGGGAAGGATGGGGGAGGGGGGCCCAGCAGGCATGGGGGACGGAGTGCCCCTGAGGGGACAGTGAAGGCTGGAAGAGAGAAACAGAGAGTGAAAGCAGGTGGAGAGGAAAGGGAAGTAGGTCAGATAGGGCGCTAGCCCCCCATTCCAAGCCAAGGCCGAAAGGGCAGCCTCTGATTCTATGGCAGCCCAGATGGCATCATGCTGCCTGAGGCACAGCCAAGGACTGGGCATTTGGGGTCAGAAGTCACTGCCTAGGGGACTCTTGAGATAGAAGAGGCCTGGCCTGGTACTGCCTCCTCCTCGGTGGCTGAAAGACCCAGTTCTGGCCCAAGGCCGAGGCCCCAAGATGGGTAGTGAATGGACTCCAGGCAGGGCACTGCCCTCTAATAGAAGCCTCTGGGCCTGCTTCAGGGCTGCCTGCCTCTGGCCTGCTTGGTTCCCTGACCTTCTGAGAGTTAGGACTGCTCTGCCACCAGGCCTTGTGGCCTATGCCTGTTTTGGCCTAGGGCTGGAGAGGAGGGTAAGGGAGGAAGGTGGGGACGGATAGGACCCTGGCATGGGGTGTGCCTGCCCTGGCCTCTTCCCCCTCCTTCTGCTGAGTAAACTCGTGAGTAAACTTGACGTTTTGCCCGGACAGTTTGAAGTTGCCTCGCGGCCCCCCCACCCCCAAGTCCTGCCAACACACAGGCGGCCAGGCGCCAAGGCGGGCCTGGGGGACTGGGGGGAAGGGGTTAGAACTACTGTAGTCCACCATCAAGGGCTTCAGAGGATCAAGAAAGACCCCCCCCACCCAGCCAGACTCAGGGCTTGCCTGGGGCCTATAAGCATCTGCCTTAGAGCCTTGGGGAACCCAAGCAAAGAGGCCTCAAAGCAGAGCCCCTGCCCACTTCTGACCTCAACTCCCACTAAAGAAAGACACCCAGCTGCCACCTGGCCCCTAGTTTCCCACCTTTAATGTTCACAGGCTTTTTGGCACAGGAGGAAGCTCCCCTTAGCAAATACCACAGGGGGACCAGAGAAATGCCCTCTTCATTCTGTCCCATAGCCCGAGGTGGGTGAAAGGTTGACAGCCTTGGCATCTCAGCCCTCTCTTTGATGAAGCCTCCCAGTTGCCATCATCCCTGCGCTGGAGGATAGGGTCCTCATTTGCCAGCACAATTTCCTGACTTCACACCTGGGCCTGACCCCACACATCTCTCACTCCACCAACTCCCCCCAGGCCTGGCCCTGATCTCCCCCAGCCCCTTCCTCTGCCTGCTGGCATCCCAGAACCGAGTCAGCCTTGAGAACTACCCAGCCCGCAAATACCTGTGCCAGACCCAGGCGTTAGGGTACTGCAAACAAAAAAGGGCGGGTAGCAGGCCAACTGAACCAGTGGCCCCCTACAAACACCATTTTACCATCACTTGACATCACTAATTCCTTTTATGCTTCCCCAAGCCACCAGACTGGCAGGGGAAAAAGCCTTCCCAGTCCCTGCCAGGCCTCCGAGAGGGACTCCACCAGGCCCTTGCTTTAGACCTCATGTCTCTGGCTTTGGTTTCCTTCCTGTTTCCACTGCCCCCCCTCCACTCCTCCCCACCCCTATGCCCCTTTCAACAGACATCCTCTCTTCCTTCCTTCCTCCTTTCCTCCCCCTTTGCCTGGGAGCAGGGGTCCTCTCCCCCAACTATGGACCTCCTAGCCTGTTAACATCTTCTAAACACAGTCCCCTTGGAGATTCGTGACCAGGTCCTCTGCTCTGCCCTCCCCACCCCATCAGTAAGGCTCGGGGAAGAGAAGAGCGAGCACACGGCTTCTCAAGGGAACTACAACTCCCAAGGTACATGCAAAGCAATTGTAGTGCATACTGGGAGTTGTAGTCCTTGATCTCTCAATTAGGCTAAATCTGGACATGTTTCTGGATGGGAGTAAAAGCAAGGATTGGGATGAACTGGATCATGGGTACCCTCTGCATCTTCTCTCCTCCAACCCAGTTCTTGTCATCCTGTTCCCCTGTACACCAGGTACCCATGATTGACATCCATGTCACCTGCTGAGACATGCTACCTGTAGTCACCTTAGGGCCCCACCCAAGGGATCCCCACACCCTGCCCTGCTGCCCCTGGCAAGGGTGAAATGGAGGGGCCCCATGGACTCCTTCCCTGTCCCCTGCCCTCTAGGCTGGTTCCCTCCTTTATGGGGATCAAAGGGCAGACAGCAGCCCCACCCCACTCCCTCTTAGCCTTCTGGCATTAAGCCTTTCAAGAATTGCAGGGACTTTGGTGCCCAAGCAAATGCTTGGGCAGGGGGAATGCTGGGAGGCTGGCACCTGGTGGCAGGGAGAGACACTGGCCCCAACCTTTGGGAGTGGAGCTTTCAATACCTGTCCATCAGGCTGCCGGTAGCCCCCTGGGCTGTCTTCGTAGAGGCCCTGACCCATGTGCTGCCTCTGGAGGAGATGGCTTGAGAACAGGGTCTTGGGCCTTATCTGTAGGACCTAGGGGCCTAGGCCCGCCTGGCTGGCACCACAGCACAGGGGTGACCCTCCCCCACCCCAGGCCCACAGTTGGCATGGGGCGCTGGGAGCAGGGGGGTAGGAGGGAGAGAGGGCACGACTGCCAGCATCCTGGTGGGTAGGTGCCAACCGGGACGGGAGCTGGTGAGGGGCAGCAGGCCAGCGGCATTGAGCCAGCAGCTGTTGGGGGGAAAGGGGAAGGGATATTTTGGGGGGCATTTCTGTGGTTTCTCCTAGCCCAGCAGGATTTGGGATGGCCTAGGGTTTGACACTGGGGTGCCACCCA